TTAATATCCCTCACCAAATGAGACAAAAGAGTGGACAAATTAACACAGCAGTTTTTCTCAATTGTTCAGAATAGGATTCGTGTAAGCCAATGAGACCAATAGTCTTTTTCAAGAAGTTTAATTACAGAAAGTGATAGGTCGTACAGATGATCGTTTAGTGGCTCTCTCGAAGAGCTTCGTAGATCGTATTTTATACTGTACAATGCATAATACTCATTTACATATGAAATAGACAAATCAGATTCAAGTAAACAAGTTATTCAATAAATTTATACAAAATCCTGGAATTTTATAAAATAAATTGTAATTGAAACATAAACTTTAATAAGCTTCAGTCCGACGTCCCAATATTGTGCAAAAGTTAATATAATGTTAAGATAACTTTAGCAATGTTCCATTACTGTTCCTGTATCGACTTCCCAAGATAGATAAACATCCTGGTAGCTTACATTGTCCTTCATCCGATTACCAGGTTTCTTTATTATTACGCAAAAGTCTTACACTTTCATATCCCGATTGGATTATAGGTCAATGCACTCTATAATAAGTACATTGTAAATAGTTTAATATGTTTATTTTTTGATTAAAATCATTGTCTCAAACCCTATAGGTTTACATTCGTCGTGGAACAGCGCTGTAGTGAAGTCAAGCTAATGTCTACTATCAAATTAATGCGTTAGCAGGTGATTTTTACGCGGCAAAATAACCGAAGTTCAATTTGGCAACGTTTGAACTATGATATTTTTTTTAACTTTAAAACTATTCCAGTTTCAGAAATTACCGTTTGATTTTATATACTAAGACTTTCATGTATATCTACTAGTAGAAATCCAAAAGAAATATATAATTATACTTTACAATGTTCTAAGATATACTTTGCTTTCTGGTTTTTCTGCTTGTCCTTATATATGTATATCTGAACAGTTTTGTATTACATGTACATTGTAACTCAATTAACGCGAAAAAAGAGCATGCTGTGCCTCTTTATAAATTCTGTCTTCATATCATCTCAATGAAACTAATATGTATATTTTGTCTATATTTATCATGATACAATAAATTGATTTACTCACTATAATGATTTTTTCATTTGTTTTCTCATCAATTGCTATTCATTCCTCTTAATTGTATGCACTTTTGCACCTGCGTGAGACTTATCGCAATGTTAAAAATCTTGCAGTAATTTTTTTTTTTTTTTTTTTGCTGTGTTCAAACAGGCATTCTGCATATTGCTTTAAAAGAATAAAATGATTGATGTCTATTTTTATTCTATTTTTGTCTTTTTCAGACGTAGAATGATGGACAAAGAAAAGAAAGCAAGAACGCCCCATATCAAAGAGATGTAAGTGTATTATGAAGTAGTTATTCAATATGGCAGAACATCTGCATACAAAACTCTATCTGTGCCGTTTTGTAATGTTTTGATGAGTTTGTCTTAATTATTTTTCCTCAAAAGAGAAAACAACTTCCTTAGTCTGGACATAGATATTAAAATGCAATTTTCCTTATTCAAATATAATCATTTATGAAATGTAATCCGAAAAATCCAATCATACTATCCTAAATAATCAACAGCAGTAAAATTTATTTCATCTGCTCGATTCTAGCGTGAGAGGAAAACTTGAGGAGGATGAGAAAAAAACACACGCACGCGCTTAAAATCTATAAATTGTAATGAAAATAATTACAGTATTCAACTGTTGAAATGTAATAAGCCTTGAAATTTAGATAGCTAACAATTAAATGTAGGAAATTCTTGATTAATAGGAATCAAAGGAATTGTCGGGAATGTGTACAATATTCATATTATTGGTTGTCCGTTTCCCAGCATAACATTTTTAATTTGTGAGGACAAACTTGAATAAAATTAATAATTTAATTTGCTAATATAATTGCTTTCTCATTTTTAATCCCATAAATGTTAAAATGATAAGCGAGAAAAACCATGTTCTTCATATGTCATACATGCTTCATTTCTGGAGTTTTTGAAAAACTTGCTTTCTGTTTACAAGTCAAAATTGAAAAAAAGATAAACATACAAATATATGGAATGTCCCTTTTTTAAAATGCTCTTGATTTAATCTCTTTCAAAATTTATGGATACAAATAAGAGGGCATTGACTAATCTTTTTTGATTTGAAAAATGCAGCATTTTTAGGTTTGTGTATTCAGAAATATTCATACTAACTTTAATCTTGGGTGCTTATTCATTATTTATTTGCTGCCATACGGAAAAATCCGTAAAGACTAATGAACCATTTTCATATGTCATACATATATATATGTCATATATATATATATATATATATATATATATATATATATATATATATATATATATATATATATATATATATATATATATATATATATATATATATATATATATATATATATATATATATATATATATAAAGAATTTTAAGGGTCATCTTAGGATAAATGTTACTTTTCTTTCTCTTTTTAAATCATCTTCTATTCTTGATTCCTTTTTTTCAATAATAGCACCATAATTCATATAAACTAGCTGGTGTCTCATATTATTGCAGTACATGTAGATATATACATGTACTATAGCTAAATGAGTACATGTATGCATGTTTCTGGCATATGTATTAAATAGATTCAGTATTTGTAGGTTATATTGCTTGTTTATTCATATTGATCAGGTTGTTGGCATATAATTGATTAAATTGATTTTTTAACTTTTGCAATGAAATGGAACACAATTTTACATATTATCTATATCTATATCTATATATATATATATATATATATATATATATATATATATATATATATATACAAAGCACTAAAAATGACCAACGACACGGACAATAATAATCGTCAAATTTTCGGGACGACCTGCCCCTTCCTCAGGACAAAGAAAAAGTTAAGAAGTCATAAAAACAAAGGAAATAGAGAAACAAAAACAACTAGCACTACTACTAAACTACCAAACACTAAATATTTACAGTGTTACATGTTTAATTTCAAGTTAATAAGCAGTCTTGAACAAAGAAATCCGGAGCGCTATGAATTGCGTCCGGTCTATCGGGTGAACTATGGTGAAGTGCGATTTACATAATTGAACGAATTAATTATCGCTAATTAATTACGACAAGCAGTAAAACGTACATTGTCTTATTCTATATATATATAGCACTAAAAAAAAAAAAATATATATATATATATATATATATATATATATATATATATATATATATATATATATATATATATATATATATATATATATATATATATATATACATATATATATATTATACTTACTCATGTACCCATATAAAAATTTGTTCACACATAGTGGCCCAACCCTACCACCAGGGGTCACGCTTTGAACAAACTTGAATCAACACTATGACAAGAACCTGCCATGTAAGTTTCCTCTTCTTTGACGAAGTTGTTCTTGAGAAGATTTTTAAATGACCCCACCCAGTTCTTACTATTTCTTAATTATCTTCCCTTGGGAGAGGGTGTGGTATTACATTTGAATAAACTTGAATCCCCTTTACTTAATGATAGTCTGTGCCAAGTTTGGTTGAAATTGGTGGTTCTAAAGAAGAAGACATTGTAAAAATTTACGACGACAACAACAACAATGACAGACAAAGGACAAATTTTGATCAGAAAAGCTTAGGTGAGCCTTCGGCTCGGATTTGCTAAAAATGAATAAACCCTTTTATCTACAATGTCAAATTAGGAGGGGATCATCCCTCCGATCTGTTCGTCAAGAACCGTGTAAATATTAAGGAAAATAGTTAAAAATGCTAATGAAGATCCCTACCTCACTTTCAGTTATGAAGATTTTCGACATCATTAGTATTCCCTTACATCATCTTATCTATAATTGTGCTCACTTCCCTAACTCACCCGTATATACCCATGCCTCCCCCCTGCCCCGCCCATTTTGAGACTCAAAGAATTCTTTTTATTTCTTTGTGGACATCGACTTCTGTGTCTCATTTACAACAACTTTCCCTGGGTTTATTCATTTAAACAATAAAATACTTTCTTTGGTTGTTAGTATAGGAATAAATGCATGTCGCAGCTGTTGCAGAAAAAAAAACATAAAACGCTTACGCAGGTTATGTATTTTTTCCCGCAATAGCTGCAACGTTAATTCCCGTACTAACAAACAAAGAAAGGCATTTTATTTGTTTATATTTAGATCTGTAGAAAAACAAAACAATTAAAATTAAATATATTAAATATCTTATTTTAGATGTGTATGTCTTTGTATGCATAATTGATGGAAGAGCCGCTGCTCAAGAAGCTTGCTTAGGGGTGTTTACTGTCTGATAAACGACAATGGTTTTCATATGAAATAAAGAAAATAATATTCAGTGGATGTAAATATCAATATGTAGCTGCAATAATATACAACCCCCTCTTTAAAAAGATGTGTATAATACTGGGGGAACGAGGCATGCAAGATTCAGAATCAGAAAAAAGAATGCAAGATTCAAGCATGTTTTGGCAATATGAAAAAGGAAAGATAACTCTCATTCAAAGAGGTTTAACGCTTTCAATTTGACTATAAAAAATAGTGCACACGATAGTAATTAGAGTAGGAGATACTTTCAAACTAATAGCAGTCATCTTATTGCTTATCAACATGAATTTCGGTAGATGATAAAGTCGAAATCACCTCATCAAATATCAATCTTTGTAATAAGTACACTGTACTAGTAACGCAAAGCGAAACAGCCCAATTCCCTCTCCATAGTTATATTCACCATGCAAGAAATACCCTTTTAAAAATTGTAATAATATAAAAAAAAAAACACACACACACACACATACACACAAACAAACAAACAGACAAAGCAAAATGCATGTATAAAAATCAAATACAAAACATAAAAAGTCATCACGTGATGTGATACATCATGTGATAAAAATATACTGTTCCGTGATACTACTATCACTTGATTTCAAACTTTATGTACAGCGAGGTTGCTCCTCTCTCTCATCTTCTATGAAAACAATTTAAAGGCATCAGACCAGCATCCGCAAACATTTTCAAACAGATTGGGATTTTCTTTATAACAATGAAACGCCACGTTTTGATCATCATCCACTATGTTTTCCGTGAGGAGTTTTCGAAAAGTTTTCTTGTAGAGTTTTTCATATTTCAAAATGGCCCCAGCATCACCCCCAAAGAACTCTCCATTAAAAGCAGGGACTATTTGGACTTTATGAAGGTCTTTGATATCTTTATATAACGCTGGATCGTTCAATACAATATAGGTGATCTTGTTGCGTTTACTTAAAAGAACTCTAGGCTGAAAGTTCTTCCATTTGGTAAGATCATCCCCGTGTCCATACCCGGCATCAATCCAAAAGAAATGTGTACTGTTAAAAGGATTTTTTCTTACAGCATCTGACAAAAAAGAAACTTTGTTGTTCATCAAGATTAAATATTTTGAGGAAAACGCTTCTGGATAATTTAGCATTTCGTTGGAATCTCGGAATTCTGGAGAAACAAGGACATGTTCTATATGCTGTCTGAATCGGTAGTATTCTAAATCAGTAAATGGTAGCGAGTATGACTGTGTTTTGTGATGTAGATTTTTTCTTTCATCCAACACAACTTTTTGAACTGATTCGTCGGAATATATTATCATTTTTACATTCAAACGCAGGACATTCCTGAAATAAGATAAGTATTCATCGAAACTTCGTTTAAAGTGTGTCCAGTTTTCCCGACCAATGTCGTACAGAGCCGTCACGAAAACGGCCTCCTTAGTTGGTTTGTGTGCCTGGCCGTTCTGCACTGAATTAAAAAGATCAACTCGTGTTATGTCTTATGAATGAATCGACAAAAACAAAAAAAAAACATTCGTATACATGTAACAACAGTTGAATAAAACTTACCAAAATGGAGACACAGGAAAACTACTAAGTATATTTCAGCATATATGTACTTAGGCATTCTTGTATTCTATACATGACTTGCACATAATGCTGGACGATAACTTGGTGTGTACTTTAAAAACCGGAGCTGAGCTGGTTAAATATACGTGTACACACGGACAGCAATTAAGCATATTACGTAGCAGGTTACACCTCCAACTAATAAGACTACAGAGTGAAGCTATAAACAGATACCTGCATAGCACAAGCACGGGTTGCATAAAAAGTAGAGATAGAACTCTGCATATGGTTTTATTATTTATATCCCCACTTTGAGTACACTTGTTTGATATAACATATAAATTCTAAAATTAAATGTTTTCTTTTTATAGTTCTTTTTCCCTTTATTGTCTTCAAAGGGCTTTTGGATCAGCCTTGAATGAAATAGACGTTTTTTCTCGGTTTACAATTTCATTCCAATGTAGTGTACCAAGGAAAGCACACACTTTATATTGTTCACTTCCAAATGCTATTCTTTTGTCTTGATAAATATTCAATGTGTTGTTGAAACTTTCCACAAATGTGTATCTCTTCCCAAATTAAAATGACCTTATATATATATTTAGAATTTATAATGACACTTAATTGCCACTGGGTTTTCAATAACAACCTTTGAAGGTTCATAATGTGGATCCTGTTTACATCCTGTTTACATCTAGACATGGAGTGACATTGTTAAGGTCTTTCGTTTCCAACCGGAAGATCTACTGATTTCGTTGATTAAGATTATTAAGGTCTTTCGTTCCAATGGAAGACTTTCTACTGAATCTGTTGGTTAAGATTTTTTTCCTTCTTTTTCCTAGCACTAACTTTGAGGCCTCATATCTCGCTTATTTCTCAACGGATTGTGCTCAAATTTTCAGTTTATAGACGTTGCTAAATTGTTCCAAAATGCTGTAATACATTTCAGAAACTCCCTTCTGCTTCCAAGTTATTCCCCTTTCATTGAAAATTTAGGGTTTTGGTCTCCAGACAAAGGCTCTGAGACTATAAAAGCTGGAGCAAAGTAATATTGAATTTGAAATAAAGAAGCATTGTAGTTGTACACATCGGTTTCTGATTTTTGATTTCTGCGATCAAAATTGCGCTAGAGAGGGGTGATAAAAAAATTAGGATGCTAAAAGGACATTGTCCATAACTTTTTAATGGTTAGTGCTAAGGCTTTCATATTTCACATGTATATTTCTTGTGGCAAGACCTTCTCTTAGGCACCCTTAATTAAGGCCATTTATCCTTGGCCATAACCTTTGACTTACGTTTCAAAACACTTTAACCTTTGCCATAACTTTTCAACAGTTGGTGCTAGGGCTTTCATATTTCACAGTTACATTCCACGACCTTTCTTTTTTTTTTTATCTCTTGACCTTTACCTTGGAGTTTGACTTGCATTTGAGAATCTTTAACCTTTGCCATAAGCTGCCAAACGGGGGCATCAGAGTTTCACAAACACATCTTGTTCAATATCCACACTGGACATAAAACATTCACAATGAATCTTTAAATCAATGTATTGAACCTAATAAATTATTGTGGAGGATTTCATATTTTGACTCGATGCAGGTTCTAAAACAAGATGGGTGAACTTGTCCAGTCGGAAACCCACAGATTGGGATTGCTCATAACCAGTGTGTGTTATGGAGCTCGATGCAAGGTCATTTGGACAAGTTCAATGTAACTGACAGAGAAACTGTAAATTCGTTTACCGTCTCTCTACTAGTGAAACATTGGAAGTTGATATCTCATACAAGATTGCTCATGACCTGAGATTAAGTCATGACGACCAATGGTCAATACTTCCTGTCCACATCTCCAACGAAAGACCTATTCTTTGCTTTGCAACGAGCTTTGTTCTAGTTCTAATTCTTTTTTTTCCTAGACGCCAACTTTGAAGTTTCATATCTTCCTAATTTTTGAACGGATTTTGTTCAAATTATTAGAGCGTTTAGACTTTACATACTGTAGTACATTTAAGAAATTCCTTTCCTCTCACGAGTTATTCCCCTTTGATTGAAATTTTAGAGCCTTGGTTTCCAGACAAAGACTCTGAGAGTATAATAACTGGTGCACTAATACCATTGAAATTGAAAAGAAGAAATTTTGTAAATGTGCACATCTGTTTTTGTTTTTTGTTTTATTTCTGCGTTCAATATGGCGCTAGAGGGGGTCAAATATTAGGACGTCTAAAAGAGCAAAAATTTAAATATCTTTTCCTTTGTATCTTTTTAACTAAAACTATTTTGTTAAGATATGTAGAATAAAAGTTGTCCATAATTTCAAGAGCTTTCATTTGAAGCCACAAAAATTAGGCTCTAAAATTAGGGTTAAAGGGCCCTTTAAAGTTTTCGTTTTATAACTTTTACATTCTCCATGTTCACCTCGATGTTAACATTTATGTAATCCAACCCTCAATCGCACGCTGTTGAAGTCACCAGTGTCCGCCTCGTTTTAGGTCCAGGGGGACCTAATACGATAACATATAAGGTCCGCCTTTTATAAGAAAAGCTCCGGCCCGTGTAAGAAAAGGTCCGCCTACGTTTAAAGGTCCGAGTGGTGCAAAATGTTTTAATCTTGACTTAAACACATAAAATTCAAGAAAGTTAGTTTATATCACATGAAGAAAGAAGGGTTTACCCTGTTGTGTTTATTTTTTTGTACGATATATCTCTAGTTCAAGAATTGCTACTCCTCGTTTAGTGTGCTTTTAGCAGTGCCGTTTAAGGCAATGATTTTTAAAAAAAAAAATGTCACATTTATTGTGTTCGTGTTTGTTTTCCCCCAGCATTTGCTTTGTGTGAATTGGGATGATTAAAGGTGTGAAATCTGCCGGTGGGTATAGGTAATAAAACAATGGGGTGTATTCAAAATATTCGGATACCTGACAGCTAGGTACCCACAGGTTGAGCCCACGGCAGATAGCAATGACAATGTAATGTTCATGTGTTTGCTTTATATCAATAGATCTGAATTTCTTTATTTTAATAAATCATGCTAAGGAACCAATTATAATACTATGTTATTCATGCTTACACTTCAAAATTGTGATACATATAATTATATACATAGTCTATTTTTATGTGAATATTTAAAGAAAGATTTCTTATCCCAAGTGTGGAGTTTAATAGTAAGACCAATGAAAAATAAAAGTATTTCTATGCTTCCCTTTAGTTTTTAACAATTATCTTTTGTTTTCAGTTTATAATCATATTTTGGCCCTTTATTTGCGGATAGGGTAAAATATAACCTAATGTTGTATTCGACTTATATTTACTACAGAAACAAAATACATGCAATGTTTAAGCTTAAAACAGGTACATGTAGCTCAATGTTGAAAAACGTATGTACATCAGATTTAAAGAATAATGGTTTGGATTAAATTCAATTCTTTCTTATAAAAATATCACTCTTCCTCGTTATAATGAACTGCATATATATTTTGTATTTGCATATACATAATATGTTTGTTTGTTTGGGTTTTTTTTTCAATCCAAAATATCATATTAACCTTGCCTATAACTTTTGAACGGTTGGTGCTACGACTTTCATATTTCATTTTTGTACTTTGTTGTCCCCCGCTTTCACTGAAAGTGGGGGATATTAATTTGGATCTGTCTGTCCATCCGTCCAATCTGATTAAAATCAGATCTTTGTTACCCTCCGAAATTCTGATGGTCGCTGTACAACGACCATCAGAATTTCGGAGCGTAACAAAGATCTGATTTTAATCAGATTGTCCATCCGTCCGTCCGTCTGTATTTCTGTCTGTAACACTTTCGTTTCCACTCGATATCTCGAGAACCCTTTGAGCTTTCGCAATGAAATTTTGCATAGCAACTCCCTATGGCTTTAAGAAAAAGAATCCTATTGATTTTTAGGTCAAAAGGTCAAAGGTCAAGGTCATAAATTCATAAATTCTGTCTGTTTTAACACTTTCGTTTCCGCGCGATATCTCGAGAGTCCTTTGAGCTTTTGCAATGAAATTTTACATAACAACTCCCTGTGGCCTAAGGAAGACCCCTTTTGATTTTGAGGTCAAAATGTCAAAGTTCGAGGTCGTAAATTCATAAATTCATACTTTTCGTCTGTGTGTAACACTTTCGTTTCCGGGCGATATCTCAAGAAGCTTTTGAGCTTTTGCAATGAAATTTTATACCTTAACTCCCTAGGGCCTCTCTCGCCCCTCTCAAAGTGTCCCGCCCAATTTTTTTTATTATTATTATTTATTGTATTTTAAGTCGCACTATTTTAGCACAGGGGCATGTGGAGAGTTATTACGTATAATTCAGGTTGTCGGCGGACTTTTTCTTATTACATCTATTAGAACTGTTTAGTAAAGGCTAAATTAGACACCATGTATTGTGTAAAATTTTGACAATATCGAACGTGAATATAAACATTATATGTGACCTAATGTTTGCATTTAATTTTTTATATAATCAAGTGCCTCCGTGGTCTAGGGGAATGACTATCGCTTAGCATATGACCGGGTTCAAATCCCGGACAATTCTTTTTTTTTTTTTTTTTTTTTTTGAATTTTTTTTTTTTTTTTTTTTTTTTTTTTTTTTTGATTTACTAAATGATAGTATTCAGCATATGAAATGAAAAAGCTATGACGTCTGGCTTGTACAAACTCATGAAATTATCATTACAGTGTGATAAATATTCTATATAAAAAGAATCTTCTATACACATATTAAATAATAAGCAATCAAATCTTTATATCCATATTGGCATTCTTTATTTGCTTCAATATACATGTATACATTTAATAATTCTACAAATCCAGGGGTTTCCGACCCCCCCCCCCCGGAACTGCGCATGCTCTTTTTTCCCCTAAACGGGGGACTCAAATTCTCTGAATTAGCTTGTTCATCACTACATTCATAATAAAGGGAATTCAAACATCACTATGTATCTTTGCGTTTTTAATTACATATCTATAGTACATTATAATTAAATAGATCTAGAAACTCCACCTCCCACAGATTTCGGTGACTGATCTTCTTACGGAAAAAAAAACAACAAAAACAAACAAAATTTTCGATATGTAATATATTTGTGACATTTTCAATTCTAAATATATCAAAATATTTCACAGATCAAGCTCCGACTCTAACCCCCCCCCCCCCCGAAAATACTAACAGTCTTTCATATTCATAACATTTCATTTAAGTCCAAAGAACTTTAAAATGCGAGTTTTGAGGCCTCTTCTCTTTGTTGGAAAGACTTTCTGAAGAAAATAATTAAAACTACTTTAAATAAAAAGAACAAAAAATGAATGTGTTTATGAAAAGACGATTATATCTCATTAAAGAGTTTTGAAAACAAAGTTCTAATTCTTTTATCAATGTCAATTATAAAGATACCTTTTCTGCAAAACGAGCCTTCTCTGTAACAAAATCATGATTATCCTGCAAACTACGCATGCTCGAGCAAAGGGTATTAATAGACACGATTTCATTTGGCACGTCACTCTGTAAAAGATGGAATAGCAGTTTTATTGTTAAAATCCCAGAAAAAAAGTAAAGCAAATATATTTTGAGTGTCGTCTCTCAGGGGATGTAAAAAAATAAATAAATAATGGTGTTTACCTGTGGGCTGTCCATGAAGGAATCGACATTAAATAAGAACAGCTTTCGGGGAACAAACGTTTCATCGTAATCATAATCTTTATCTTTCATCCGTCCTTCAAACTTGAAATTCTTTAAATATGAAATTAAAAAGGAAGTTTAAAACAAAGAGGAAAAACACATGAAAGTTAATTCAAATACATGTATTTTTAAAGTATTCCTACAATTTTACCTTTGATTTCTCCTGGGTTTCTTGTTGGCCCTGGTCTGGTTTCAGTTTGGAACTTGTGGCCTAAAGAAAGAAACATTTTCGTCAAGTGGTCAGGTAAAAGCAGACAATGAATTATAAATATTTGCAAGAGTTGGTAACAAACTTACTTTTGAATTATTCTCGAATTCTTTCTGAAGCTTTTCTTTCGCCATTTTAATTATCTTATTGATGTATTCCTACATGAAAAAAAAATAAACTACAGTAGAATAATTTAAATTTCTAGCGACCAATTTAGTAAATTTGCTGCAAATGTACTAGTTCGTTGGGACGTTATTTCGTGGGCGAATTATCTCAGTATGAAGGATATTACATTTAACTATTATTTATTTCAATATAGTTAAGGTAATAAAAGTGCGTGTTATACCCATGATATAAATGCACAAGAATTTAAACCCACAAAATCTTATTTCACAATGGTTTAAATTCGTGTTTAACCCCCCCCCCCCTCTCTATCTCTCTGTGTGTGAAGCATACACAAAGCATTATCTCAAAAATGAAATTTTAAAATTATTATTTACAGTGTCATTAGCCAAGGGCATAAAGGGTTAAGTGTTGTAAGGACATACTTACGCTTGCAATTTCCTTTCGCAGCTTTTCATTTGCTGCAATCATAATTTCTTGGACATATTCCTAGAGAAAGACAAGGAATTCGCCTGATTCATATGGATAATTCCAAAAAATTCTTCAGACTCCAATTCCTTTAACAACTTTATAAATTTATTTCCCTTCATATTGCCTTAGTCTAAAATAAGTTTACTGCTGTTTAAACAGTTTCAGTAAAAACACAGGGCATTTAACCTTTCAAATTACAAAACATCAATATCAAACCATACCTTAATGAGGCGATACTGTTTCTTCTTCTCCACTATCTAAAATAAATAAATAAAAGTAAAATAAAATGAATGTTACATGTAACATAAGTAAAATATTCATACACAATATGTGTATATCACATGAGAAAAAAAACTTACATGCACAAGTAAATAAAGGTAAAGTTATTATTGAGCACTACGTACCTTAAGCTCTCCATGGACAGCTTCCATTTTCTCTTTCTTTCGCATCATGGAGGACTGTATTTGTCGAAATTCGTTTGACTTTCTGGTGGCTCTATCCTAAAATAAGTAAATATTTGCTTGCATTTTTAAGATATGTGCTTTTAATTTAATGTTAATTAATTGTACATTTATTAATGAGCACTACTTACCTTAAGCTCTCTATGTACGACTTCCATTATCTTACTCTTTCGCATCATGTCACACTGAGTTTGTCGCATCTAGGTTAATTTTCTGGTGACTGTGTCCTAAAATAAAAAAAATATATATTTTTTAATTTAAATTTATGTTTTTAATTTACTGTTTATTAAGTGTACGTTAATTATTGAGTACTACTACCTTGAGCTCTCTATGGACAGCTTCCATTTTCTCTTTCTTTCGCATCATGGAGGACTGTATTTGTCGCAATTCGCTTGACTTTCTGGCGGCTGCATCCTAAAATAAATAAATATTTGCTTGCATTTTAAAGTCACACACTTTTAACTTAATGTTTATTAATTTTACATTTATTAATGAGCACTACATACCTTGAGCTCTCTATGGACAGCTTCCATTATCTCACTCTTTCGCATCATGTCGGACTGAATTTGTCGCATCTCGGTTAACTTTCTGATGACTATGTCCTGAAATAAGTATATATGTGTTTACATTTAAAATTACATGCTTTTAATTTACTGCTTAATAAAGGTAAAAAAAGGTAAATTAATTATTGAGCACTGCGTACCTTAAGCTCTCTATGTACAACTTCTATTATCTCACTCTTTCGCATCATTTCGGACTGTATTTGTCGCATCTCGGCTAACTTTCTGGTGGCTGTGTCCTTAAGTAAGTACAAATATTTTTTTACATTTAAAATCACATGCTTTTAATTTACTGTTTATTAAATGTAGATTAATTATTGAGAAATACGTACCTTGAGCTCTCTATGGACAGCTTCCATTATCTCACTCTTTCGCATCATGTCGGCCTGTATTTTTCGAGTCTTCTTTGACTTTTTCTTTATTGTCTTCTAGAATAAGCACAGAAGTATATATTTGTTAATTGTTTTTGTACATGAAATTTGTATATAATTTGTTCTTAATAATTCTGAACAATTGATAATTCAGTTAGATTAGCCCGTTTTATAACTGTTTGGACGAATTAACCTGGCAATGAGAGGGGGTTATCCCTATAATTTTTTCAATATACATAAATTATATATATGAGTCCCCAACATTAAATAACTCATTTTTTTTTTCATCCAGTGTTGAGACATGAGATATATATAACAATATCATTCTTTTTTTTTTTTTTTACTTACAATCATTTCATGGTGAACTTTGCTCATAATGGCTCGCAAAATCTTCATTCTTTCGTTTTCTTCTAACTCAGTTGCCTTGAACAAATAATTATATACAATTTTTTTTAAATGGGAGAAGCGATTACATGTACAATGCGAATTAGTTGTGTAACCTAGTATTAATACAATTTTTGCTTCCTTGTTAAGGTATCCGATCCATAATAGCCTCAGATTCAATGAACCTGAATGCATAACAGATATACGTTGGCTGAATACTCAGTATATGTAGACATAATCTTCATATTTTAGTATCAATATGTAAGAGCGGAATGTGTCCTAATTTTTGACCTTGTCCTGTCCTTGAAGAGTTATCCCCCCTTTGCTTTTAATCAATAAAAATCAATTCTAAAAAATCTATCTGGTCAAAAAATTAGTTTTCAATCGTTTTTCTATTCCTAATAATTAAATACATCTTTCCACCACAGCATTTTTTGATATTCTTAGTATTTAAATTTTTATTTTCAAAAATTTGCTTGTCCCCATAGACCTCAATGCATTCTTCATTAATTAATTACTGCTTAGGTAATTATATTTTTGAAAATTTCTCCTGATAAATCCTTTTCTATTCTAAAATGCTTTGAATTAATTTCCAAGTATTTAATACAGGATGGATATTTAAGGTTAGAAAATTAGGTCCTTTTATGGATCGGATACCTTAAAAAAAAGAAGATGTTTGAAACAAGTTCAATATGTATGTCATGAATTATACAAATCACGTGTAAGTATAACAAATCTCAGATACATCCAAACTATAGTGTTTGTTTGTTTACATGCATTTTTCATTGGTGAAATAACAAAACTCGGTCGATGTCATGTCCAATCAAAACTTTCGGAAATATAATGCATACATTTTGTATTTTGTTATAGGGTAGTTAATGCAATGCCTTCATTGAAAAAAAAAACAAAAACAATATACTTTATTCAGTATTCCTGACGAATTATGCTTACGTGTTCAGGTATTTTTTGAAGCAGGATAAACATAAAATGCCAAGCGATCTACGTTTTATATGATTTTTTTTTATGTATACATGTATCATAACATCCCATGAGCAATGCGTCATTATTAGTAAAGGCTACATAATGGTAAGAAATTATCACCAATAAATATGTTAAGTATACCTCCAGTCTTTCTTGTCTCTCTACTTCCTCGGCCCAATTATAAGAAAACTTTAAAATTTCCAGTTTGGTCTCCTGAAATAAGACAAAAAAATAACATAGACCGTAATTTATGCACAAAGCACGTTTTTAGTTTTTCAAGAAAATGTGACAGCAAAAGATTACATATATATCGATATCAAACATGAACAAAAGCTTTGGTGTGTACTTACTCCCTTGTCACTGAAATCCAGTATTTCACTGTAGTCCATCATAAATATTTCTACAAAAGAAATTGTAAAATAGTTTTCACTTATGACAGACAGTTGTAACTCAGAAAATTAAGCAAATATTACAAAGCTGTAACTCACAGACTGACCTTTCTTTCTGCTTAGTTTCTTTGTTTATGGTGATGATTATGACGTCAACTACGTCAAATAGCTATGATGTCACAATCACATTTCGTTCATAACAAAAGAGAGGTATTGATAATTTTTCCCCGTGTATTTTTTTAATACAATTTGTATTTTATCATATTTTAACAAATGTAGCTCACGTCAGTGTCCATTCTTCTTTTAAGTAAATGATACTGTTAATTCAAAGATTGCATTAATTGATTAAAAAAATAAATAATTGCCTAGTTTGATGTTGCTTCTAGTAGTAAACAAAATATCTTATAAAATCAAAGAAGATGGGTGAACAAGGCGTGCAGAATGCCTATAGCTTCAGAAATTAAAAAAAAAACATATTCAATTTGTGATTTAAGTATTTAAAGTAAAGTTCTAATTATTGAAATTTATGCCATTGTGATGAGCAAAACTTTTCTGAGAAAAAAAGATCTCGGAAAAAAATATTCTTTTATTAAAAAAAATAAAATGGTATTCGTAGGATTCGAACCCTAGCAATAAAAATCGGAGTATCATACTGCTTTTAGACTAACACGTTAACCAGCAACGCTACACAGCCCCTGATGACTAGTGGCATTCAAATAATGTTTGTGATATGATCCTTGACTTAATGGACTTCAAGTATTTCTCGGAAAGATGCGAATGCTTTATCATAAAAGTGTACTTTTAAGGTATAGTGGGTCTTTGCTCCATGTTTTTGTAAACCAAAAAATTTATATTTTTATGCAAAATTTCAGGATTAACTTTCACAAAAAAAAAGGAGCGAAGACCCATTCAAATCGAAAAATTTGTTAAAGTATGAGAAAATGATCCTTTTTGTCCTCTTTAGTATGTGTATGCTATTTCGTAGGCAAATAATTTTTGTCTTTGTGAGATTTATATAAATTAAAGAGATTTTACATAAAGTATACTTTAATGTTAGATGAAATATCAAAGAAAATTTTTATATAATTGGGATTTTAATTTTCACTTCATGTCACTTCCGGCCTCCATTTTCTGCGATTTACTGAATGGGAAGCAGTAGACTGAGTTTGGAGTGATATTTGAATAAATAGGATGGATGTAACGTGATTTCAGTGGAAAAATCCGAAAGTTGAGATATATTTAAAGTAAGTAATTAACGTTGATGGCTGTTTCCGTTGATTTTAAACATGTTGTAGGCAAAAAATCGAGGCGATGTAGTTGACCTGAAAACTTCAAGATGGCGACCGTGACGTACCTTGTTATTATTATAGTATGGGGATATTTTTATTAATAAAGAGAAAAGTTTAAAACGTCAAGTGCCTGTGGTCATAACTTAGGATTAAAAGAGCAACGTCCAGTTGATTTTAATTATTATATTCAACCAAGTTCCGGTTGCTCCTACGTTTTAAGCAATGCAGCGGCGATGCGTTCAGAATAATTGACATTCCTGCTGACTGCAAGCTCTAAATTCTGGGGGGAAAGTGAACCATTAACATTAATTTTGCTAGCATTCACCTGTTTTCTCATGACATATAGCCAGAGCCCTCGGGCATACGTTAGTCTTTTTGCATTGAGTGTATGGATTCGATGTCATGCAATCTATGATTAAGTTACTGGTACTAGCTGCAGTGTTTTTCGTGCATTTAGTGCGGCATACAAGGTACAACACAATGTGCAATAGAAATTGTCAAATGTTTGGGACGCCCTGTATCTTCCTGAGGACAAAGAAAAAATTTAAAAAAAAATCATAAAAACAAAGAAAATAGATAAACAAAAACAACTAGCACTACAACTAATCTACCAACCCCCAACCCCTTTCATGTTTAATTTAAAAGTTTAAAAACCAATTGCTTTGAAATAATTCCGGACCTAGCTCTATGAAATACGTCCGGTGTTGCATAATATTTGGTCCGCCTCATATAAAGGTGGGGGGGGGGCAAAAAAAAGATAATATATAATCTATAATAAAAGCTCCTCCTTCAGTCTCTTATATGCAAAACATCGTAGAAACTTTACTTTTCTGTATTGATTTTTAAAATCTTTTTTAAAATTTAAGTAGTTGTTAGAACGGTTGTTTCTCCCAGCTGAATGTACGACACAAAAGGAAGGAATACGAAAATTAAAGTAAAATTTTTCATACTTAAACAGTGTTTTAGTTCCTCTCTTTACTTCAGTAGTTATATGATACATAGTGTAAAAAGCTTGTCCTATCATTGCAAGACATTACAATCATTTCTAATTTCATATCATGCTAATAAAATTTGGTATATAAAACTAGATTAAAGGAAATTTCGATTTCTTTAAGAATTAATTTATTTTTGTATTTCTATGGGACACAAACGTCAACTTTTTACAAGGATGTTTCTAATACGTCAAAGAAGCTTGAATCATTTTGAGATGCATAAAATGAAAATTG